ATGTGGCCCGGGAATGGAGTTCTGGGAACTCGAATAACACGAAGTGGCCTACTGTTGGCTCCGGGCATTCAAAATCATGCTCAGGAATGGAGTTCTGGGAACTCGAAGACCACGAAAAGGCCTACAGTTGGCTCCGGGCATTCAAAATGTGGCACGGGAATGGAGTTCTGGGAACTCGAAGAGCACGAAGTGGCCTACTGTTGGCTCCGGGCATTCAAAATGTGGAGCAGGAGTGGAGTTCTCGGATTTCGAAGAGCACGAAGTGGCCTACAGTTGTCTCCGGGCATTCGGAATGTGGCCGGGGAATGGAGTTCTGGGACCTCGAAGACCACGAAGTGTGTAACTGTTTGCTTAAAACGACTTCCGCGGGTTCTCCCCGGCACCCGCCCAGACCCCCCTGGGGAGTCAAGATGCTCTCTTTTGACACTACTAGAAACCTATCAGTCTTCGCTGTTAGGTAAAACAATACGACCCGCACTCTGCCTACACAGTTGGAGCATGCGCGGCCAACCCGATGCGGTCCCCCACCACCATCCTTGTCACTAGAACAATACAAAGTACACTTTGGGTCAAAGTTTTGAGTCATGTTCGTGAGGCTCGCGAGCACTGTATTGTTTTTGACAAGGACGGCGGGGGTGACAGCATATTCCCTGCTGTGCGCAAGGCTACCATCTGTAACAAAAAACAATACAACATGCACCTCACGGCTAAATCTGGATCATGCGCGGCCACCTGGCGATCACTGTCAAGTGGTGCTTGACAGTGACGGCGCGCATGGTGGCGTATGGCCTGCTGTGCGCAGGCCCACCAGACACAATGATGGGCATTATGTTCGACAAGGATGGTGGGGGCCGACATGATTCCCGATGTGTGCTGTAATGTGCGCAGGCGCACCTGACACACTCTGCGCGTGCCCCGAAGGTGGCGCACCTGGCGCGGCTGGAGTATGCGGCACACCTGGCGCACTCTGAGCACGCGGCGCACCTGGCGCACCAGGCGTGCCTGGCACGCTCGGGCCCCAGGGGTGCCTGACGCGCGTGGAGCACCTGGCACGCGTGGCGCACCTCGCCCCAGCGTCGCGCACCTGGGGTCGGTTTTGATTCCCAGTTGCTGCCCATCCAAAGACGACCGCTGAACATGCTCAGGCTCGGGTGTTACTTCATGTGTTGGGAGGGCGGGTGGGAGTGAGCGAGACGGCTTGCCAACTAGGAAGGTGTCTTGATCACTGTTCCTGAATAGAAATCCCCTCCCCCACCCGGCCGGTGGCCAACCACGAACCATGCCGACTCCATGACGGCCCGCCCCCCACCATCGCTGTCAAAAAACATACGAGCCGCACTCTGCCTCCACATTTGGAGCATGCGCCGCCAACCCGACGCGGCTCCCCGCACCATACCTGCCAAAAAACTATGTAAAGTACACTGTGGGGCAAAATCTTGAGTCCGCCGACCCCATGGGGTCACGGCGTGTGAGATGCGTCCCGGGAGCCCGGTCCGGCCGGTTTTGAAGGGGGAGGGGGGGGGGGGGGCAAAGGTGTCAGCCGCACCCTTGGAGCCTCAGGGGGCTCCGAAACGGGCCAATAGGGCTCCAAAAGGCCCCCCAGACGGTCCAAGAGGGCTACGAGTCGCCGAAAGATCGCTCCAAGACGCCCAAGATCATCCCCAGACGGTGCCAGAGGCCCCCAAGACGCGCGAAGAAGCCACCAAGAGGCGTCCCCAAAGACCCTCCAAAGCAAAAATCGTCCCATTCCCGAGGGAAAACGTATATTTTTAGCACATTCGCCTCTTGGGCTTTCACGAGGCCCACAACGGCCCAAGAAGCTTGTAAGATCGACCCAGTCCAACAGGCCCCCAAGACGGCCCCAGAAGCTTCCAAAACGACCCAGGAGGGCCCCAGGACGGCCCCAAGAGGAGCCCAGAGGGGGATCCCGAATGAACATTTCGAGCGCTCGGCCCCCAAAAAACCTGAGGAGGCGCCAATCGGCCCCCAAGAGGCTCCCACGAGGCCCCCGCGAGGCCTAAAAGAGGCTCCTAGAGGCCCCAAAACGGTTCCCAAGAGGCCTCAAAAGTGCTGCCAGGAGAGCCCAGAGAAGCCAAAGAGCAGAGCGGCGATCCGCCAACCGCCCCCGACGAAGTCCCAAGCAGCTGAAACCCCACGATTCCCCAGAAATCGTTCCGCAGACTCCGTTTTTCACTCTTACTGCCGCCCCAAGGGGTCGGCGGTGCGGCGTCAGCCAATGAATCATGTTTGTGAGGCTCGCGAGCACTGTATTGTTTTTGACAAGGACGGCGGGGGTGACAGCATATTCCCTGCTGTGCGCAGGGCTACCATCCGTAACAAAAAACAAAACAACTTGCACCTCACGGCTAAATCTGGATCATGCGCGGCCACCCAGCGATCACTGTCAAGTGGTGTTTGATAGGGACGGCGCGCATGGTGGCGTATGGCCTGCTGTGCGCAGGCCCGCCAGACGCAATGATGGGCATTGGTTTTCGACAAGGATGGCGGTGGCCGACATGATTTCCGATGTGACCTGTCACGTGCGTAGGCGCACCTGACACACTCTGCACGTGCCCCTAACGTGGCGCACCTGGCGCGGCTGGAGTATGCGGCACACCTGGCGCACTCTGAGCACGTCGTGGCGCATCTGGCGCACCAGGCGTGCCTGGCACGCTCGGGCCCCAGGGGTGCCTGACGCGCGTGGCGCGCCTGGCACGCGTGGCGCACCTCGCCCCAGCGTCGCGCACCTGGGTTCGGTTTGGGTTCCCAGTAGCTGCCCATCCAAAGACGACCGCTGAACATGCTCAGGCTCGGGTGTTACTTCATGTGTTGGGAGGGCGGGTGGGAGTGAGCTAGACGGCTTGCGGGCGGGCGGGTACTCCAGATTTCGTAAAAAAGGAGAGGGGGTCTGGACCCTCCAAGACAAGCCATTTCAGACCTCCCCCGTGGGAGAACCCTCCAAAACTCCGTCCCCAGACCCCCCCAGGCCCTCCAAGATAGCCTGGAAGAGACCCCCCCCGAAATGAGACCCCCCTCCGTTTATTACGAAATCTGGAGTAGCTTGACCCCTCCCTTTACCCCCTCCCCTGGCCCTGGGAGGGGGGGGCCGCGAGGCGTCAGAGTCCCGGAGATGACCCCAGGTGACGCCAAGAGGGCCTCAGAGGGCCCAAGATGGCTCCCAAGATTGTCCGAGATGCCTCAAGATAGCCTCCGATAGATAGCCTTCAAAATTGGCTCAAGGTAGCCTCCGACATACCTCCAAGACGCCCCAAGACGGCTCCAAGACGGGTTCGAGTGCCCTCCGAGCCGCCCAAGGACCCCCCCCAAGAGGCAAAAATGGCGCCACAACCTACGGGAAATCCATGTGTTTGCCTTCTCGCCTTTTCGCTTCCGACTGGCCCCGGAGGCCCCAAGATGGCTCCGAGACGGCCAACGAGAGCTCCCAGCGGAGCCCGAGAGGGCCCCGAGAGCGCCGAAACCCGGCCTAATGCGTCGGACCATTTGAAGGGGGGCCTCCGTTCGGACCAGCGCAAAAGCACAGGGCAGCCCGCGGGCGAATTCAACGAAAGCGCTGGCATGGCCCACGGGGGGCACCCGTCGGCCGAAAAACACCAACAACACGGCCGGGCGGCCCAGACCGAATACCGCAGCGATTCGGACGGGGCCGCGGGCCCCCCGCCCGGGCCGCCCGAGCCGCAGAACCCCCGCGCGAGCCACTGACAAGAAACTCCTCCTCCTCCTCCTCCTCCTCCTCCTCCTTATCTCCGCCTCCTCCTCCTCCTCCTCCTTCTCTCCTCTTCCTTTCAGGGTCGGCGGCACCGGCCTTCAGGCCTTCACAATAACTCCAAGACTCGGCCGCGGCCACAGGCCCCCCGCCCGAGCCGCCCGAGCCGCAGGTCCCCCCCCGCGCGAGCCACTGCGAAGAAACAGCAGTGCTCGACCGCCGCCGCGCAAGGAGTGGGTCGTCGGCGGGGCCCCGTGGGGCGGCCGGCCTATGCCTAACGAGATAACACAAGAGGATGGAAGCACCCGACTGTTTGCAAGGCCTGGGCGGGCGCGCGCGCGGGGCCCAGAATCAGAAGCACAAAAAAAAATATCAGGTGCCGATTCCGTCATAAAATAAATAAAAAAAAAAAAAAAATAAAAAGAAAAATAAGAAAAAAAAAGAAAAAACAAAAAAAGAAAAAAAAAAATAACACAAAAAAAAAAAAAAAAAACTAAAAAAGAAAAAACAGAAAAAAAAAAGGGGTTTGCAGGACGACCCTTTGTAATCTGGCGTGACACGGGCGTCAGAAAGACACCGGAGCCCAGCAGCATGAACACACGCCCGCATTATATAATAATAGTATATATATATATATATATATATATATGTATATATATACATATATGTGTGTGAGTATTCCCAGCCTCCGCCTCCTCCTTCTCCTCCTCCTCCTCCTCCTCCTCTTCCTCCTCTCTATCTTCCTTTTCCAAGTGTTCCCCGAAGGATTTTCACTGCTCGGGAAACATATTTTCCAATAGCTTGGTCAAGCTTTGGCGCAACGTTTGGCGACATCGGCATGTCCAGAAAAGCAGGGGGCAACGGTGATTCGCCGTAGGCGTCTTCGATAAACACTGCCGAGAATAGCCAGAGATGATTATCAGCCAGCGTTAACTCCAAATAGATAGGGGGACAGGACGAGGACGAGAGGAGGATGGGAGGAGGGCGAAAGGAGGACGGGAGGAGAACGGGAGGAGCAAAATCGATCAAGCGCAAGCAAGCAAGCGGAAGCAACCAAGCGCAAGCGAGCAATCACAAGCAAGCAAGAACCAGCGATAAAGAGCAAGCAAGCAAGGGCAAGCAACAGCAAGCACGCAAGAGCAAGCACGCAAGAGCAAGCAAGCAAGTGTCATTGGAAAAAGGGGGGGGTCCTAAAGACCAATTACTTATGATGAGTTAGGACTCCTACAGGGCAAACCTATTTTGAGAATTAGGTAACATTGCCGAGAATAGCCAGACAAAATTAGGTAGACGTACCCAGACTGGAAAAGCTTTACGATAACCAGCCAGGGCTCGCCCTAACCACGTTTCCCAGCTTCCCTATGTGAAGCCGCACGGGCACAACGACGGCTATCAGGGAAGCACGGGAAAGCATGACGGGGAAGTGTGAGTCTGTGGTTAAGGAGGGATTGCGATCGGTAAGGCCTGATGAAACGAAATGCCACTGTGCCACGCCACAACACATTCCTCAATTTTGCAACCGAAAACCACTGCCTGCCATGACGTGAGTACCCTCCGCGAACGCATATATTCTGATGTCAGGCAACGATCTGGGCACATCAGGCAAAGCCTGCTGGGCTGCATGGGAACAGCGAAGGTGCGGCCTGCCCGTTCGCGGTGTAAAGTCCGCCAGAGTAGTCGCCGATGTTCTCTACAAAGCGACCAAGGTTCCTGCGTCAAACAGTCAGCCCGCTGAAATGTGAAGCAAACGTGGAAGAAATAAGAATGATGAGAGAACACCATGGATGATGAGACTGAGGAAGCACGGGGAAGAACTAGCCGAGGCGGACTTACATCATCCCTCGACAGATCCATTGATGACAGCTCGAACTGATTCAGGCCCTGCGCTTGGACAGCATGCGCACCATCACATCCCCAAACTGCACAAGAGCCAAAGAAACATAATGATGTGAAACAACTACAAAGGAATTCAGAAACGGGTGGAGAATCCAAGCACCAGGCTGTACAAAACCGTGGCACCGTCTGCCATTACGTCCACCGCAAGGTGTTGGCGTGGTGTTGGCTGCACTGCGTCCAACCCATGGCTGCTCTCATGTATTTCGATCTTGCTTGAGTTGGCTTGGCCAATACTTCACTAAACGTGAATGAATGTGATATGATCGAGTGACGGACTGAATCCGCCACCGCACCCCTGAGGCACGAGATGAAGTGCCATCGGGTCCATTGCTCAATCTCCTGGACCCTCAGTCCTCAATCCTGAAAACTGCTTAGGGGCACCGGTCCCAAATTGCCAAATCTCTTGGGGCTCCCCGCACGCCCTCCAGGCCCGATGTCCCAGCATGACTCTCACGGGCCTACGGGGGTCCCAAGAGGCCGCCCAGACTGTCCAAGGGTGCCCCGAATCGTCGCATGATCAATCCAAGACGCCCACGATGGCCCCAAGAAGCCTTCGAGGCGCCCTAAGGGAGCCCCAAGAGCCTTCCCAAGAGGGCGACGAGAGACTTAGATTTTCAATCACACCAGAGATAAACCCCAATCAGTGGATGGTTTGAAAATCTGTGACATGGATATTGACAGCCGTTGTGAGATCGATTCTGCGATCGATCGTGGAATCGATATTGAGGACGATTGTATGGTCGATCGTGAGATCGATAGGGAAGTCGATTCAATCAGATAGATAGCGAGATCGATCGTGAGATCACTCGTGCGATCTATAGTGGCATCGATTGTGAGATCGATAGTGAGATCGATCGTGAGATTGATAAAGAGATCGATAGCGAGGTGGGTAATGAGGTCGATGCTGAGACCGATCGATAAGAAGGTCAATCAGGAACATGGGAAACCGGAACCCCGCCGCCAAACCGAAATCGGCCCGGAACCCAGAACCGGGAACCCGGGAACCATGAACCGGGAACCCTGGAACCCGGCCGCATACCGAAATCGGCCCGGAACTTTCGCCAAATCTTTCAATATCCGCTAGGACCCCTTCAGTGCAAGCACTGATTGGGGAATGTTTTAAAAAGGGTTCTCGAGGTTTCGAGCTTCCGACGCTCTTAATCAGCCCAACAGGTCCCCAAGACCGCCACAAGACGGCCCAAAAGGCCCCCAAGAGGGCCCCATGACGGCCCAAGCAGACGGCCCAAGAGGGCCCAAGGACAACCCCAAGATGGGCCCCAGAGGAGGAGCACGAACCGAAAACCCCAGTCTTCCAGGAGGCCCCCCGGAGGCCACAGGGAGGCCCCAAGAGGCCCCCAGGAGGCCCCAAGAGGCCCACGAGACGCCCCAGGAGGCCCCCAGACGGCCCCCAGGAGGCTTTGAAAGGACCCCTCAGACGCCCCCGACAGGCCTCCCGCGACATCCCAGCAAGCATCCCAGAGGCCTACAACCCACAACCCTGGCACGGTGGCGGGATGGGCGGAACGCCATTGCCCCTGCCTGGCGCGGGGACGGAAGGCGCCCGTGCTCTACGAGGGCGCGAGATCGCTGGCTCCGTGTCCTGGAACCCTCTTGGTGTCAAGACTGTGGCAGGCCAGCTCAAAAAACAACGACCAGGCTTGCGGAAGTCAACGAATAGCTATGGCCTCCCTTGCTCGGGCTTTTTTGGGCCGTCTTGGGGCCCCCTGGGGTCGTCCTGATGCTCGGGCCGTCTTGGGGCCCTCTCGGTGCCCTCTCGGTGCCCTCTGGGGCCCTCTTGGGAACCTCATGTGGCCCTCGTGGGGCTCTCTTGGGAGCCATTTGGGGCCCTTAGTGGCCTCTCCTGGGCCGTCTTGGGACCCGTCTTGGGCCGTTCTGGAGCCCTATTGGGCCGTGTGGGGGCCGTTTTGCTGACGTCTTGGGGGCCTCTTGTGCCGTCCTGGGGTGATACTGGGGGCCTCTTGGGCCGTCGTGGACGCCTTCAAGACCAAAGAAGCAGATATGCAAAACATGCACGCTTTCCCATCTTGCCTCTTGGGCGTGCTGTTGGATTCCTCGTGGAGCCTCTCGAGGGCCGCTTTGGCCGTCTTAAGGCCATCTTGAGGCCGTCTTTGAACGCCCTTCTGAGGCCGCCGTGGAGGTAGATTGGGCGCTCTTGGGGCTGCCTTGGGCCGTGTTGGCGGCCTCCGAAGCGCTGTGTGGCTGACTTAGGCCGTCTAGGGCCGACAACGACCGAATATCGGGCGATTCGACCTGCTTGGCAAAGCGCTCAAACTCTGTGCTGCCGCGAGATCACTTGCTCAATGTCTTGGAACCCTCTTGGTGTTAAACGTTGATGCGTCATACAACAAACATGGTCGACCCACGAACCCGGAAAGGAATACTTATATAGTATGAACGTAGGGCATGGTAACGTTTCAAAGACACCTGATTGGGCGACGGGCAAATGCAATGCTGAATTTATCGATCTTGATGTACCGTGCCGAGGGCTGTGCTGTGGTGCGCCGTGCTGGATTGCGATGTGCCATGCCGCGATTGTGCTCTATAGCGTTGTGGATCGAGTCCCCCTTTGCATCCGAGTCCTGACCGACCTGATATGGAGCTTAAGATCGAGCTGTGTGAGCACATAGTAGATGCCCAGGAGCTAATTGACAAAGGGACATGCCAGGACGTGCCAAGGGGACGCGCTACGGAACGTGCCAGTGGACGTGCCACGGGACGTGCCAAGGAACGCGCCGCGCGACGTGCCAGCGGGACTCGCCACGGGACGAACCACGGAAAGTGCCAAGGAACGAGCCAGGTGGCAATGCTGAATGTATCGATCTTGATGTACCGTGCCCCAAGGACTGTGCTGTGCTGCGCCGTGCCGAATTGCGATGTGCCATGCCGCGATTATGCTCTATAGCGTTGTGGATCGAGTCATCCTTTGCATCCGAGTCCTGACCGAACTGATCTAGATCTGAAGCTCGAGCTGTCTGAGCACATAGTAGCTGCCCCAGAGCTAATTCACAGGGGGGCATGCCAGGAGGACGCGCCGCGGAACGTCCCAGGGGACGCGCCGCGCGACGTGCCAGGGAACGTGCCATGGGGACGCACCGCGGGACGTGCCAAGGGGACGCACTGCGGAACGTGCTTGGGTCAAGCGTTTCGCTCGAGACATCCTCCCCAAATCCTCATGCTAGACATCCGCATGGGCGACCTGGACACGTGAGAACAAGCGTTTCGCTCAACACATCCTCAACACATCTTCATGCTAGACATCCGCCTGGTCGAACTGGACACGTGCAAACAAGTGGTCAGCTCGAGACATCCTCAACACATCTTCATATTAGACGTCCACCTAGGTGACCTGGGAACGTGAAAACAAGCGTTTCGCTCGAGACGTTCTCAGCACCTCCTCATGCTAGACATCCACCTGGGCGACCTGGACACGTGCAAACAAGCGTCTCGATCGAGACATCCTCTACACATCTTCATGTTAGCATCCGCCTGGGCGACCTAGACACGTGAAAACAAACATTTCGCTCAAGACCATGCTAGACATCCGCCTGGGCAACCTGGACACGTGCAAACAAGCGTCTCGATCGAGACATCCTCTACACATCTTCATGTTAGACATCCGCCTGGGCGACCTGGACGCGTGAGAAGAAGCGTCTCGCTCGAGGCATCCTCAACTAATTCTGATGCTAGACATCTGCCTGGGCAGCCTGGACGCGTGAAACCAAGCGTCTCGCTCGAGACATTCTCAAGACCTGGGCACGCGAAAACAATAATTCACTTGAGAGCTCCTCTAAATTCTGGTCCCCAAGAGAAGACAATCTATGACACAAACATACGTTTCGCCCGAGACTTCCTCAACAATTTCTGCAAAACAAGCGTTTTGCTCGGGAAATCCTCAATAATAATTCCGTCGGCCCTCTTCGACCCCGTTAGTTCTCTCAGAATAAAGCCTGCCCTCTTCAAGTCGAGGCCAGATGGTTAACCAACTGAAAGAGAACGCTGTTCCGACGCCCTTGCGAAAAATCTATGGATATGGCCTCTCGGTGCCCTCGAGGGTGTCCGTTCGGGGGGTCCGTTAGGCCGTCTCTGGGTCCTCTTGAGTCGACCTGGCGCTCTCTTGGGCCGCCGTGGGGGGCGTGGGCCGTCTTTGGGCCTTCTCGGGGCCCTCTGGTGCCCTCTCGTGGGCCTTCCGTGGCCCTCGTGGGGCTCTCTTGTGAAACTTCTGCGGGACCTCAGGAGCCTATCTTGCTCTCGGGCCGTTTTGGGGCCCGTCTTGGGCCGTGTGGGGGGGGGGCGTCTTGGGGGACTCGAGGGCCGTCCTGGGGCGGTCCTGGGGGTCTCTTGGGCAGTCGTAGACGCTGTCTCAAGGCCACAGAAGCAGACACGCTAAACATGCAAATTCTCCTAACATGATCGACCCACGAACCCGGAAAGGAATACAGAAACGTAAGACATGGCAACATTTCAAAGTCACATGATTGGGCGACGGGCAAATGCAAAGCTTAGTGCATCGATCTTGATGTACCGTGCCGAGGGCTATGCTGTGCAGCCCTGTGCTGAATTGCGATGTGCCATGCCACGATTGTGCTCTATAGCGTTGTCGATCGAGTCCTCCTTTGCATTCGAGTCCTGACCGAACTGATCTAGATCTTAAACTCTAGCTGTCTGAGCACATAACTAGTAGCTGCCCCAGAGCTGATTGACAGGGGAACATGCCAGGAGGACGCGCCGCGGAACGTCCCAAGGGACGCGCCAGGCGACGTGCCAAGGTACGTGCCATGGGGACGCACCGCGGGACGTGCCAAGGGGACGCGCTACGGAACGTGCCAATGGACGTGCCACGGGACGTGCCAAGGGACGCGCCGCGCGACGTGCCAGGGGGACTCGCCACAGGACGCACCACGAAACGTGCCAAATTGCAATGTTGAGTGAGTGGATCGATCTTGATGTACCGTGCCGAGGGCTGTGCTGTGATGCGCCGTGCTGGATTGCGATGTGCCATGCCGCGATTGTGCTCTATATAGCCTTGTGGATCGAGTCCTCCGTTGCATCCGAGTCCTGACCGAACTGATCTGGATCTTAAGCTCGAGCTGCCTGAACACATAGTCCACATAGTAGTGGCCCAGAGCTAACTGACATAGGAACATGCCAGGAAGACGCGCCGCGGAACGTCCCAAGGGACGCGCCAGGCGACGTGCCACGGGGACGTGCCACGGGGACGCACCGTGGGACGTGCCAAGGGGACGCGCTACAGAAC